GTCAACCTTTGTTCAGCTAATAGCAGAATACACTGGGARTTGCATTTGTTTCTTCAAGTGCCCTTGAGATAAGGAGGAGAAAAGGAGAGATATGGGGCCATGAAGCAAGTAGGATGGGAATTTCAGCACAGTGTAGGGTGGAAGATGCAGGTGGCTTCAGAGCCATGACGTGTGTGACAGATCCCATTTTGCTCCACTGCTGAATATAGATTTTCACTTTAAGTCATTGCTCTATCTGCTGAACGTGCCTGGGGCTTTGCCTTGTGGAGGACACATCTTGCAGCCTCTCTAAAAGGAAGTCCCTGCAGTTTGGAGCCAATGAGGGGAGCTGGGATGCAGGAAGAAATAAACAGCAGAATTGGGGCAGAAAAAATGTTGTTTCTCCTCCAGGCAGCTGGTGACTTTAAGGTGAAAGGAGCCTGGGAGAACTGCATTTCAATGCAGTGTCCTCATTCCTGCATGATACGGGAGAACCCTTGATTTGAAGTCAGTCTGTGAAAAGGTGTTGAAATCTTGTTTCTTCTCACAGTCTTAACTACTCGCAGATGCACATAGTTGGGGCCAGCTCTAAAGCTGGTGTCCAACGTCACAAGTCAGTCAGGGTTTATGACCAGCTGTTGGTCATAGGTCCAGTGCCTGTTCTCATCCAGAAATGGTGATTTTACTGATGCAAAGTGATTGCTTGAGAACTTTCATGGAAGATGCAATGCAGCCTTAGTGCGAGGTGGTATTTCAGGAGGAAGGTGGCTCTCTGTTTTGGAATTAAGTGGAGATGACCTCAGTGGGACCTGGACATCAAAACTAAATGAAGATTTAATTTTTTTAATTGGTGATGAAAGGTTTGCTATTGTGAAGTGAAACATTAACAATGGGTGAGAGAAAGCCCGGATTGCTGAACGAGGTTCATCTTCAAGTACAACGGAGCTGGGTGTCTACCAGTGCAGAAGGAAGAGCAGGCATGGCAGAGAAGGATGGCATGGTGCAAACTGCAAAGGAAAYGCATGCTGGTGAGATATTTTATTTTTATTTTTTAGCCCTTTTCTTGCTGATCATAGAAGAAACTGAAGGCAAAAAGACCCTAGAAGGGGCAAGAAGTTTATCTCTGATTGCTAAAGGTTGAGTGGTGCTTGTGTGGGAGACTCTTATAGATTTAGGTATTTGATACCATAAATGGTGTTAATGTAACTACCTTTACAAGCTTGAGTCTATAAGGGCTAGTGGCAATGGATAGAGTAAAGATGAAGGGCTGAAGACTTCTGGCATCTTTTCCTGCTTGTTGAAGTGATTTGATGTGTAGTTTTGTTAAATTACTTTGAGACAAATCTGCTAATAATGCAAACTGGTCTTGGTCTGTCTAAGTTGCTGTGTTCTTTCATGTAATCAAAGAATGGAAGAAAATAAACCAGAAGAGACCTGGAGAGGTTATCTTGTCCACCCAGGGCCAGGTCATTGAGCCCAAGTATTCTTGGCAAACATTTATCTAGTTTCTTATAGCCTTATCTTGGAAAGAGAGAGAAGAGGAACAAAATGAAGATACGGCAAAAGTACTATGAAAGTATGGGCAGYGTATGTGAATTCAAATTAAGACCCAGTAGAAAGAGACCAGTGTGTCTGAGCTGCAAATCAGGAAGGAGTTCTATCACAAATGACAGGTATAAATGAACAGAACAAATGCCTATGAACAGATTAATTTGTACAGCACYGCAGCAGGAAGCGGTGAGAGTTGGAGGACTGTGAGTGCAAAGGGAGAATGTGGATTGTTTTCCTGTGGATTTGGGGATCTGAAAAAAATGTAAATGATGAACTGAAAGTCATAGAATAATGTATTCATGGCAGCTCCTGGCTATGCAAGGCATCTGGTAGCTGAATATTACATCTTAGCATGAATCATCTTGCGTATTCCCCCCTTGCATAAAAGACAACCTGGAAAGGAAGAAATCTTAAAGGGAGCAGTCCTTGCTCTAACATTTACCAGTTGAAGTTGTTTAGCACATGATTTTCATAGAAATTCGGGAGGGAAAACTTCAGAAGGGCACCTCATCCATCTGTCTGCTCTGGGACAGGAGCCAATGTATTCAGCCTGTCCCTGATATATTCTTAACAGATACCAAGGGTTCCCCAGGCACTGGAGCTCCAGCCCCACAGCACTGGTTCCAGTCCTTAACCGTCCTTGCAGAATGAGAATCTGGCCAAAAGAGGCCTCAGATCTTCTTTATTGAAAATTAAGCCTGTTCTTATCGTATTTTTAATGAAAATGTAGAATAGTTGGTTTCTTAGCCAAACAGCCTTGGATTTTGTAAAATACGGTCACCACTATCTCCCCTTGTTTCCTCTTTTCCGGGCCAGTAAAAATACAAATCTCCAAGTTGTTGTCTTTGCCAAAGTTTTCTAAAGTTTTGTTCAATCTTTTCACGGTCCTTTGGACTGTCTGATATCTTATAGCTTGGGATCACAAACTGGACATAACGTTCACCATCTGCAGTTCCAAAGAGCATCCATGTTAGTGCATCTCTTTGTGGAAAAAAAAAATCACTTTTTCCCCATGTATTTGYAGGGTGAACCACCCTGCCCCTCTCTCTTGTCAGTGGTTGAGTCCACAGCTCATCTAGTTGTTGCACCATTTACCATACAACCATAGAATGAAAGGCTGGCTTGACAGTGCTCTTTTTTTTTT